ATGCACCCTGCAAAGAAAGCTCCTAGTGGCGGGAAATAATTTAGCAGTGCCGAAGCGCACACAAACAAAATCACACCCTTGGTGTGACAGTGATAAATCCCATTAAGCTCCTCTGTATCTGCATGTACTTGGACACATTTAAGCAGCTTGTGCTTTACACATTTAAGTGCCATGTATCTTTCTAAGGTCCCCAGCGTGGTAGTACTGTGCTGCTATCCCCATCTCCTAATGGGGAAACTGAAGCACTGAGGACCTGCCGTAGGTCACAGAGGCATTCCATATTGGAGCAGGACCTGAATCCATCTCTCCAACTAGCACTGTGAATGCTGGAACATCTGCCCTGTAGCCACTTGCACTAGGCTTTGCTGATGTCTCACTTAAACTCAGTGGCTACTTACAATGGAAGAACTCACCTGGCTTCCTAAGCACAAATAATTGAAGCTTCTGAACTTCCTTGGGATACAAATAAAGATCCACATTACCCCTTCCACAGACAGAGTCACTGAACCACAGAGAGGGAAACTGTCTTCAGCATTTGCAAATACATGCTAATGGTGAGCCTGGCTCTGGACAAGACCCAACCTGAGGTAGAAGAATCTCTTTGGACCTGGGATCTTCTGGATTTTCAATCAGCAGAGATCCTCTTCTGTGGCACATGGCATACTCCTTACAGAGCCACCCCAGTGATGCAGCCCCCACATTTCAGGAAATCTTTCTGGCTGTGGAATCAGCTTCATTTCAAAACAGATTTTGCTTTATAAAGGAAGATTTGATGCAAAATCCTTCCCCAAAATCTGATTCCCTGGGGCTGGATATAGAAGTGGCCAACAATACTGGGTCCAATCTGGTAGGCATGGATGTCCCAGGAATGTCAAGTGCTCAGATTATCTCAGTATCTGCAGTGATTCCTGCTAGGATAGAAGCAATATACTGTCAGCTGCACAGTGCAGTCTCATCATCTGCAGAGGCCAGGAAGGAAACTTCCTCCATCTCAGCCACAATACACCGCCAATGGCCAGATATGTTACCAGGTTGAAGGGAGTTTTCCTTGCTCCTCTGAATAATCGGGCTGCGACTGGATGTGATGGGTTGGTGAGCTGATCTGCTACAACCTCATGAAAAAGTGATAAGGCGTTACCATACCAGCTGTTGAAAGGCTCATGTCCTGGTGGCTGAAGTAAAAATTGCTGAGGTTTGGCCTCCTAATAGGAGCAGTGGGCACAAAATTTTGTCTAGTTTTATGACAGACCTTGATCAGCTTATGAAGGAAACTGTATGATGTGGCACCTGTGAGAGCAGGAGGCTGGACTCTGCAGCCCAAGATAGCCCTTGCTGTCATGTACTTCTAATGAAGAATCCAGGGCATTGCGTTGTATGAAGCCAATGAGTCCTTGTTGCTCACTTTGGGCCCAGCAGCCCATGGACTTCTGTCCTGAAAGATCTCTAGCTGCTCTGCCATCAGGCAGGGGTGTGACACTTCTATATAGAACAGAATGAAATTCAACAAAGACAAATATTAGCTGCTATGCATAAGGAAGGAAAACCAAATGCACAAGTGTAGAAGAGTGGTAACTTAATAGGCAGTAGCACAGCAGGGAAGGATTTGGAAGTTGTGATGGGTCACAAACTCAGCAAGAGTTTGCCGTGTGATGTTATTTTAAAAAATGCAGTTTCGTTGCTGCGTTTGCAGAAGTATTGTATACAAGATTCAGGGAGTGAAAGAATCTTGCCTACCTGCTCTACTTGGCTCTGGTTTGGCCCCAGTTGGGGTATTGAGTGTGTGCAGTTCTGGACCCTGCATTTAAAGCAGGTTGTGGAGAAACTGCAGAGGATCCAAAGGTGAGAAACAAAAATGATGGTGAGGTTGAAATGGAAACCTAGGAAGAAAGGGTGAGAGAATAAGATGTGATTCATCTGGCGGAGATCATAAGAGAGACATGATAATAATTTTCAAATATTTGCCAGGTTGTCACAAAGAATGTCACAGAATGCCAGGACAGGAGACAATGTGTTTAAATTGCAGCAAAGCAGATTTTGAGTGAATGTCAACAAAAGCTCTAGGTGGGGGAACAGTAAGACAATGGAACAAGCTGCGCAGGGAAGTTGCAGAATCTCTACCGGAAGCTTTCAAGAAGAGGCTGAAAAGGCATCTGTCTGGGATGATTTAGGGAACGAATCCTGCAGCTCTTGCAGGGCTCTGGAGTAGGTGACCCTTGAGGTTCCAAGCAAGCCTAAGGTTCTATGACCTTTCCCAAAGCAGCCCAGGCGACACTTCACTGCCAGAGGTGTACAACAAATGGGTAGGGGCATGGGGAAACCAGGAAGCTACCACCAGTGCCAAGTAGGTCAAAGATTATTTAATGTGTAAAACCAGCTCCCACCAGTGGTGGCACCAGTGTCTGTGAAAGCAAGGGAAGCAGCAAAGCTCTGATGGGAACTCACAGCAACCCTTAGCCCCTTTTGTCTCTTTTATCTTACTTCTGTGACTGACACCCCATCCGCTCAGGTGGGGATAAAGGCTCTGATGTACATGTGGGGCCAGAAGTAAATAATTGAACACCTGGAGAAAATCTATGTTTCTGCACTGTGGGAAAGGCAACTTGCATTTCCACGGCAGATTTTTGTTACCTTCTACTTGCTTTTTTCTGTACTGTAACTCTTTTTAATGTTGTAATGTTCTTTAATGTTTCTCGCTCTCCCTCTTACTGTTTCTCCCATACTTTTTATAGTAAGCAGCTTTCCTGGGTATACTGGAAGGAATGACAGCCCCATGAGACCATAAACACTCTAGTTTCTCTCCTCATTGGGAAAAATACAGCTGCAACTACTTTTTATCCATCTATTTATACCTTGTGCTCTATTTACAATGCAAATCCTGAATCTCCTCCATTGTAACCCCTCAGTGCTGTGATGTCTGCCTGGAGGAAAAGGAGAAGAAGAGGACAACACCTTACCCAGCCTGTCTCTGAAGTCAAATGTGAATTTAGCCATTGATCTCTGGGGTCACATCTTTCATATGTCAATGCAGGGGAAGACCCACAGGGATGCAGTGGTGCAGTTGCATGCCCGACCCTGATTCCTGCTCCACCCAAACTCTAAAACCAGCTGCCTAGGAGGAACAGTGGCATCTCTATTCAGGCAGTACTAAGTGAGTCAATGACTTCATGGCTCATTATCATCTCTCTGATTCCTGCTAACCTCTTTCCATTCCATAGATGTTAACAATCCTCTCTCCTTTATAGTCATCTCGATGTTCCACTATACAAACCAGCCTTTCTTTTGCAATACTGCTTTCTGTTAGCCATTCCTCATAATGTCTATTTCACAACCCTGCAGACTGGTTTTAGCTCTAGTTAAAAACCTTAACCTCAGTTATGGGATTACGAACTCAAGTGTAGAAATGACTGCCAGTGAAGTATTACAGGCACTGTCAAGATGCTCAAAAAGGCTAGATCTTGTTTTATGAATCTGAATAACAGATGCACATTTAACTATAGTTTCATAGTTTCATAGTTGGTAGGGTCGGAAGGGACCTGTGGAGATCATCTAGTCCAACCCCCTGCCATGGCAGGAAAGAGTACTGGGGTCAAACGACCCTGGCAAGGTGTTAATCCAGCCTCCTTTTAAAGACCCCCAGGGTAGGAGCCAGCACCACTTCTCTTGGAAGTTGGTTCCAGGTCCTAGCTGCCCTGACAGTGAAATAGTGCTTCCTAATGTCTAGCCTGAAACTACCCTCCGCTAGCTTGTGTCCGTTGTTTCTTGTAACTCCTGGGATTGCTCAGGGGAACAGGGACTCTCCCAATGCCTGCTGGTCCCCTCTGACTAGTCTGTAGACTGCCAGTAGATCCCCTCTCAGCCTTCTCTTTTGGAGGCTGAACAGGTTCAGGTCCCGTAGCCTCTCCTCGTAGGGCCTGCCCTGCTGACCCCTGATCATGCAAGTGGCCCTCCTTTGGACCCTCTCCACATTGTCCACATCCCTCCTGAAGTGCAGCGCCCAGAACTGGACGCAGTACTCCAGCTGTGGCCTGACCAGTGTTGCCTAGAGGGGGAGGATCACCTCACTGGACCTGCTTGAGATGCATCTGTGGATGCATGACAAGGTATGGTTGGCCTTCCTGACCGCATCCCCACACTGTCGGCCCATGTTCATTGTGGCATCAACGATGACTCCAAGATCCTTTTCTGTCTCAACACTGGCGAGAAGGGAGTTCCCCAGCCTGTCGGTGTGCCGCTGGTTCTTCCTCCCCAGGTGCAGTACCCTGCACTTGTTAGTGTTGAACCCCATCCTGTTCTCTTCGACCCACCCCTGTAACCTGTCTAGATCTGCTTGCAGCCTGTTCCTTCCTACTAGTGTATCCACTTCCCCCCACATCTTAGTGTCATAATGATCATAGGCCTAATGACACAATATATTTTGGCTATTTTTGCCTAGTTTGTTGTGTTTTTTTAACTTTATATAAAATCTAGCAAAGTTCAAATAGTTATATTTATTTTTGTTTTGTTCTTAAAATGAATAATGTAGCATATTAGTAAAGCTAGTTTCTCTTTAACTAAAGAAAAATTGTGTGTTGTGTTATACAAGATGATGTGCCATGCCATTTGCTTCCCTAGATCCCTTATCAAAACCCTAGATCCACCAATGTATCAAAGTCATTGTCCTCCTTATGTGTAGATTTACAAAACTGCAAGAGTATATGCATGCACCATGCATTACCCTGCATGGAAAACATTTGACTTTCTTGAAATCCCCTGCTGATTGGCAGTCTACATCCATTTTTTCCCTTTTGGGAAAAAGAATCCAGTAAAACTGCTTCCTCCCTTAGCACATGGAAGAGGCTCCTCCCTCCACCACATTCTGTATGTGGTAGGCACAGAGTAGAGTCTGGCAAAACACGGACAAAACCAATGTTGTGAAAAGTGATGGTATTTGGAAGATTTTTTTTTCTATCTTACAAGTTCAACTAGAGCAACTTTTCATTTTTAGGGATATAATTTGAAAAAAAGGAAATTGGGGGAAATTAAACATTATTTTTGCAATGTCCATCATTCCTGTCTTCTTTCTCCCTGCCCTTTCCCCTTTAGCCCTGAACATGATGGAATAAATAAGATCTGGGTTATTTTTTTCATTTTTTCTTTTCTACCTCCATTGTGTCTATCACTACTTTCACTTCCAAAAAAATTTCACAATTTTGGAAACTTACAGAATAGCAGAGTCTGGAGAGTGGGGGAAGAAAAGTGAAAAAGAGTAAAAAGGAAACCCTAGCCATCTTCCCTTGTCTATCATGTCCAGTGGCAAAAGGAAAGAAAGAATGATTCAAAAACTGGAAATGTTAAACTTTTTTTATTTTGATCAAAAATGGAAAATTTTGAAAAGAAAGAGTACTTTGAACAATATTAACATTTAGGAAAAGGAGTTGTTGCAAGATGTTGGCCAGTGTGCACTTCCAGAGCTCTGAGAGAGAAAGCCACGCGAGTTTCCTTTACAAAAGCAGGGTCAAGAGGAGCCCTGGGCCAGATGTGGATTGTGGGGCTCCTTGCAGGCTGGATCCAGTCCAGAGTATGGGTGTGGCTGTGGTGGCCACTATGGCAGCAGCAAGGGGTCTAGTGGCAGTGAGAGGTCCAGGAGAGAGGGTCTGGGTGTGCAATAATGGTATGGGAGCAATGGTAGCAGTGAGCAAAGCCTCACCATCACCAGCCATGACCAAAGGCCCCTGAAGGGCCAGGAGTCCATGGCAGGCCATGTCCCCAAACTTCTGGTGGCCCTGCAGGCCAGATAAGGGAGCTTTGCAGGCCAATTCCAGCCTGTGGGCCATATGTATGACACCCCTGCTTTACCTGCTTTACACACCTGCTTTACAAAATGAGATGGCAGGCTGCTTTGCTAACTCATTAAGTGCATGCTGATATTCCTCCCAGATTTTCTTTCTGTGTGCCTGCCTGCACTGTGTACACACATGCAGGTGTTACAGCATAACACAGCTGCATGTTGGCCAGTCTGTGCAGCCCTGGCTTGTTGCATGATGCATCAGCTCTGATGCTGTCCTATTAACTGTTTGAAGTTTGAGTCAGGAGGGTTTGCTTTGTTTGCTTATTGGGTGGCTCTTTTCAGGCCTTTTTCTTTTTTAACCCTTTCTTTAGTCCAGACTACACCCTTCCAAGAGGAAGTCTCTGAAATTGTACTGCACTGTTCATTTATTTATTCTGGGCTCCTGCTTTCCAAAGCCAAGCCATGGCAGGGGTTAAACAGACTGAAGTTCTGGCTACTTCAAACTGGATCTTATGTATTTTGCCTCAGTGCTGCCTTTGCAATCTGCCCTGAACTGCTGAAAGCTTGGCCTGAGCTTGTTTTTAGGCATCTAGGATAGTGCCAGATCATTAGTTACTGCAGGTGCTGGTATTAGAAATTGACAATTAGAGTGGGTCTGTGGCCAAGGAGAAGTCAAACATGAACAACAGTAATTGGAGACATGCACAGGAGCACAAGACCAGATCCTGTGATGGCAACCTGATGAATATTTAACATCCTGCTACGTCGGCAGATTAGGGAGGAGTCCCCATAGCTCAGTCATTACGACTGACTTCGATGTTTTTATACTTCCAACGGGGATTTTTGTTCTTTATTATATTTGAATGTAGTGTCTCCTCTCCACACTTACAGCCTTTATACTGTGGGTTAACTTTATTATCACATTGTAACACACAGAAAGAAACAAATAGAAAGAAACAAAGCAAGTATAACAATCTAGCCGCAAGCTACTCAGAATGTTAATCATCGACAACCTGACTTCATCTATACTTAAGGCATGTATAATTATATACAGTATGAATAATAGATCAGTTATTTGTACTACACATCTTAATGACCAAAAAAATTAGCTTATAAAATCCAACCAACTTTCAGTTTATCCTGTCTTTTCCCTATCTTGTATAAAGAGATATTGAAAGAAGGAACAATAAGGTAGGGAAGGAAATATGAGGAGATATGCCAAAGGTAAAAGAGAAGAAAATATGTAAAAAAACCACGCAAAAGAACAAATTATGTATAAAGAAAAAGGGGTACAGGCCTTATTTTGTTTAGACACAATGAATTTTGGGACTTTGAAAAAGAAAATCATTACTGAATTTTTAAGCCCATTTAAAATATATGTCTGCTACAAAATACAGCATCTTTGGCAGATCTTTTTGTGTCACCGGTGCTCTCAACTCAGATGTGTTTTCTCTGACCCCAGTAGTGGCATGGGGCAACTCTTAAGCAGTTCTGGCACAGTATTCACCGTCACTCTTTGCTGTTGTTTTCACTTTGTGAAGGTTTCTCCTTAAGCAGAGGCTGAAGAATTGCTCTCTTTCAAGGAAAGCCTTGAAGACCTGCTCTCTTTCAAAATGGCCACCGCTCATTGGTCCCAGTGTGACAGAGGGAGCAGGCTGCCCTTAGCCAAAATGGCAATGGCCTCCCTTTACCTACTTCTTACCATCTTCCCTGGGTTTTTCATACTAGTTTTGGGGATTCAGATAAGATGTATGTATGTACATCCTGTTGAAGACCAAGAGAGAGGGAAGGACTGCACAGTGCCAGGGTGTGTACACCCCATGGGCCAGCTAGAAGAGCGTGAAGAGGCTACTGAGGGCTCAGTCGGCCTTGCCTTGTTAGACCTGTGACAGAAGTCAGGCTGCGGAGGACGGGTCACACGGGAAAGTCTATTTCCTTTGGTATCTGGTGTGTTGAGTCCTGTTGTGTTAATTATCATCAGTCTAAATGATCAAGTCTCAGGAGGTGAAAAAGGCACACTAAATGGCATTTTAAAATGTCCTGAAATAGCTTTTCTAATATGTACACATGTCCCAGCTCTCAAGAGGTCCAGTATCTCAGGACTAGAGTTAAGACCCTGATGCAAAAGATATTAGATCTTTAAGTTGGATTGTAGAATTGGGGGGGGG